TCACACAGACTGAGGTGGAAAAGTTCAACAGACCCATAACAAAAGAAGAAATTGAACAGGTCATAAAAAAACTACCAACAAAAGTCCTGACCCAGACAGTTTCACTGGAGAATTCTACCAAATGTTCAAAGAAGAACTGACACCAAGCCTATTCAAACTATTCCAGAACACAGAAAAGGATGGAATCCTCCCAAATTCATTTTATGAAGAAAATATAACCTTGATACCAAAAGCAGGCAAAGACATCACTAAAAAGGAAAACTACAGACCAATGTTGTTGTTGTTATGTGCCATTGAGTAGGACCCAACTCAAAGCGACCCCTCCTTGGGTTTCCAAGGCAGTATCACTACAGAAGTAGATTGCCCCACCTTCCTTCCCTCATGAATACAGACACAAACATCTTCAACAAAATCCTAGCCAATAGACTCCAACAACATATCAAAAAAATAATACATTATGAGCAAGTGGGGTTCATATCAGGTATACAAAGATAGTTTAATCTTAGAAAAACAATCAACATCACCCATCACATAAATAAAACAAAGGAAAAGAACCACATGATCACATCAATCAATGCAGAAAAGGCATTTGACAAAATCCAACACCCATTCCTGATGAGAACTCTCAAACAAGAACAGAAGGGAAATTCCTCAACATAATAAAGGGCATATACACAAAACCAACAGCCAACATTATTCTCAATAGAGAGAGACTGAAACTGCTCCCCTTGCGAACAGGAATCAGACAAAGATGCTCTCTATCACCAGTCCTATTCAACACTGTATTAGAAGTCCTACCTAGGGCAACAAGGCAAGAATCAAAGGCATCCAAATTGGTAAGGAAAAAGTAAAACTATCCCTATTTGCTGGTGATATGAGCCTACACATAGAAAATCCAAGAGACTCAACAAGAAAACTACTGGAACTAATTGAAAGATTTAGCATAGTGGTAGGATACAAGAGTAACACACAAAATCAGTTGGATTCCTCTACACCATCAAAGAGAAGCTCTGACAGCATAGTGCCTAAGGCACTTGACTGCTAACCAGAAGGCTGGCAGTTCAAACCCACCAGACACTCCTTGGAAGGAAGGTTGGGTAATGTACTTCTGTAGTGATAGTGCCTTGGAAACCCAAGGAGGGTCGCTATTAGTAGGCTCTGATTCGACCGCACATAACACTATCACCACCACTACCAGCAAAGAGACTGCTGAAAAAGAAATAAGGAAATCAATATTATTTACAATAGCTGCCAAAAAAATACAATACTAGGGAATCAATCGTACCAGAGACATGAAAGACCTGTACAAAGAAAACTACAAAACACTACTTCAAGAAACCATAAGAGATAAATGGAAGAACATACCAAGTCTGTGGATAGAAAAATTGAACATTGTGAAAACGTCACTACTACCCAAAGCAATCTATACATTCAAAGCAATCCCAATCCAGACTCTATCAACATTCTTTAAGGATATGGAAAAACCAATCACTAACTTTATATGGAAAGGAAAAAGACCTTAGATAAGCAAAGGACTATTGAAGAACAACAACACAGTAGGAAGTCTCACACTCCCAGATCTCAAAATCCACTGCACAGCCACTGTAGTCAAAACAGCCTGGTATTGGTATGACAGACACATAGACAGTGGAACAGAACTGAGAACCCAGAAATACATCCATCAACCTATGGTCACCTGATCTTTGACAAAGGGTTGAAATCCATTAAATGGAGAAGAGATGGTCTCTTTAACAAATGGGGCTGGAAAAACTGGATATTCATTTTCAGAAAAATGAAACAAGATCCATATCTCACACCATACACAAAAACTTACTCCAGATAGATCAAAGACTTAAATGTGAAACCTAAAACTATAAAGTTCCTCAAGGAAAAGATAGGAGCAAATTTGTTGTTGCTGTTGTTATGTGCCATCGAGTTGGACCCAACTCATAGCAACCCCTCCTTGGGTTGTCGAGGCAGTATCACTATGGAAGTAGATTGCCCAACCTTCCTTCCAAGGAAGGAGCAAATTTAGGGGCCCTAATTTATGGCATAAATAGACTGTCAAACATAACCCAAAATGAACAAACAGCAGAAGATAAACTAGATGAATGGGACCTTCTAAAAATTTAATTTTTATGTGCTTCAAAAGACTCCTCCAAGAGTCAAAAGAGAACCTAAAGATAGGGAAAAAATATTCCACAACGACATATTTGACAAAGGAGTTAACTCTAAAATTTACAGAAAACTCCAACACCTCAGGGAGCACTGGTAGCGTAGTGCCTAAGGCATATGACTGCTAACCAGAAGGCTGGCAGTTCAAACCCAACAGCCACTCCTCAGAGGGAAGGCTGGGCAATTCTACTTCCATAGTGATACCACCTCAGAAACCCAAGAAGGGGTAGCTATGAGTCGGATCCAACTCAATGGCAGTGAGTTTGTTTTTTTGGTTTTCCAACACCTCAACACCAAAAAGACAAACAATCCAATTAAAAAATGGGCAGAAGACACAAATAGACACTTCATCAAAGAAGATATTCAGGCGGCCAACAAACACATAAAGAAGTGTTCACAATCATTGTTGTTGTTGTTGTTGTTATGTGCCATCGAGTCGGCCCCGACTCATAGCGACCCCTCCTTGGGTTTCCGAGGCAGTATCACTACGGAAGTAGGATTGCCCATTAGAAAGCTGCAAATCAGACAAGAATGAGTTACCATGTTATCCCAGCAGTAATAGCCAAATTCAACAAGACAGAAAATAAGAAATGCTGGCAAGGATGCGGAGAGATGGGGACTCTCATACACTGCTGGCGAGACTGTAAAATGACACAACCACTGTGGAAAGCAGTATGGTGATTCCCGAAAAAGTTGGAATTAGAAATACCATTTGATCCAGCAATCCCATTATTAGGTATGTATCCTAAAGAAGTGAGAGCCAAGACAAGAACATATATGCACACCCATGTTCATCACAGCACTATTTACAATAGCAAAAAGATGGAAACAATCTTCGTGCCCACCAACAAAGAAGTGGATAACTATGGTACATACACATAATGTAATACTATGCAACACTAAAAAAATACTGTAGAATCTGCAAAACACCACATATAGTGAAAAAACTTGGACAACATTATCCTGAGTGAAATAAGTCAATCACAGAAGGACAAATATTTTATTAGTTCATTATCGTAAAAAGGCAAGTAAAAGTTTAAATACGGAAGCAAACTGTTGGTTACCAGGGTGGCAGGGGAGGGGAGAGAACACTGCAAAAATAAAAATCAAATGAAAAAAAAAACCCACAATACTCAACATCCACACTTAGCTCCACCTTCTCACCGCCAACTGACTAACTACTACTTCCAGGCTGTGAGGGAACCCTGGAAGTGCAGTGGTTCAAGCACTTGGCTGCAAACCGATAAAGGTCTGCGGTTAGAACCCACCAGCCGCTTTGTGAGAGAAGTATGTGGCATCTATTCAGAATCTACTCCATGACAATGGGTTTGATTTGATTTTCTATGCTAAGTGGCGAAGACATGGAATAAGACCTTTGGTATTTAGAAATTAAGCAGGAAAAAACATGACTTCACCATCACTCCCAAACCTCTGTCCCGCCTTCTCCTCCGACCCCAACCTAAAAGCTGCGGCGAAAAAATCCTCTTAGCAAACATTCAGTTAAAGATCCAATCTGCAAGCGCGCAGGCTCGTCTCAGTGGCTCTGAATTGTTAAGACAAAACAAAACCCTTCTTCGTCCCTTCCTTCCCTCACCCTCCTCCCACCAAAGAGAGCCTGTAACAAAAAAACAAAATTACTCTCAACTAGAACAAGGCAGTACTGTAAAGCCTAAGAGTCCTGCGCAGTGTTGGAGAGATGAGAGATCCTCACTTTCCCTCCTCAATCTCTGGCGAAAGAGCTGCTTTCATTCGCTTCTAGCTCGAAACATTGCCCTGAGGGCAGCTCAGATCTCAAGAGTTCGTCATGGGTTTTCCTGCCGCCCCGAGCGCTTTTTGGTGAATCTTAACTCAGTCTACTCTCTACTTCCGCTTTTTCTCTCTCAAGCCCCCTTTCTTCCCTTGCTTCACCCCAGGAAAGACAAAGACAGACCCTAAGAATGAAATTCCCTACCGAGTTCACCGCATCTTGCAGCTGAGTGAGCCGGTCCGCCATGTTTCTCCCTTACGGAGAGGAGACACTAAAGCTGCTGGTCGTCTGCGATTGGACAGATGGAGAAAACGTCGTGACCAGTCACAGAGCTGTGTTCCTTGAAGGGGTGGGATCACGAAGAAAATGCGGAGGAGGAGGAAGTGAGACTTACTACTCACTGCCATTAAGTCGATTGGACTCCTAGCGACCCCTCGGGTTTTTGAGGAGGTGTCTCTACGGAAGTAGATTGCCTAATCTTCCTTCCAAGGAGTGGCTGGTGGGTTTGGACCTCCAGCCTTCTGGTTAGCAGTCAAAGGACTTACCAGAGGCTTGCTTTATTTAGATTGGCAGGCCCGGGAGAGAAAGGCTGGCTGGACATCTTTTGAGTAACATGGGGGCAGTGCAAGGTTCAAAATACCTTGTTAGAAGTAGGAGGTCTCACACTGCCAGATCTCAAAACCTACTA